AATAAGGTAAATAGGTAAAATCAGGTAGGACTTTTAACAAGCTTGTGAATAAGCACATGTGTGGCTAAAATTACATTGGATATATCATGTATACATACCCTCCTGTTGTCAGTTGGTATATATATATGTATGTGCTTTTAGCATTTTCACTTTGAAAAGCATTTGCATATCCCTGTCTGAAGTTTGATATAAGGTTCAGACTAGAATTTTTCTTTCTAAATTTGTCAGATTATTACGATGCCTGTAAATTTATTTTTATATACTTTTATGGCTGAATATTGTAATGTCAGAATAATAACAGAACCATAACACAAAAACAAAACTTGTGTCTGCCCCTCTCTCTCTCTCTCTCTCTCTCACTCTCTCTCTCTCTCTCTATCTCTCTCTCTCTCTCTCTCTCTCTCTCATTCTCTCTCATTCTCCCTCGCTCTCATTCTCTCTCATTCTCCCTCTCTCTCATTCTCTCTCATTCTCCCTCTCTCTCATTCTCTCTCATTCTCATTCTCTCTCATTCTCCTTCCCTCTCATTCTCCTTCCCTCTCATTCTCACTCATTCTCCTTCCCTCTCATTCTCTCTCATTCTCCTTCCCTCTCATTCTCTCTCATTCTCCTTCCCTCTCATTCTCTCTCATTCTCCCTCCCTCTCCCTCCCTCTCTCTCTCCCTTTCTCTCAAACAAAAGTTTGCTTCTTTCAGGATGTGTCACCGGCTCATCAACTGCAACATCACGTCTGTGACACTGATGAGCCGCATTGTCTTGCCTGGAATGGAAGAGAGAAAGCGGGGTCTGATCATCAATGTTGCATCACTCTCTGCCACAATTCCTGCCCCTCTGCTGGCTGTGTATGCTGCCACAAAGGTATTTTTCATGATTTTAGAGTTTGAGTAAGTGTGGGTGAATTGGTTGTGCGAAGTTCATGCAGAAAAGGAATTTGTAGTATAATGTTGGTATCACAGAGGAGGGATATGATTATAACTTTTAATGGATTCTCTGTTGTTTATTTATTTACTTACTTATTTTTGCAGGCCTTTGTTGAAAGCATCAGTGACAGCCTGGCAGCAGAGTATAGCAGGAAGGGTATCACCATCCAGTGTGTCCTGCCAGGCTTTGTTGTCTCCAAGTTGTCCAAGCTGAAGCGGCCTTCACTCATGATCCCCACTCCAACAGCATACGTCCGCTCAACAATGAAGACCACTGGCGTTGAAAAGAGAACGGCTGGGTACTTCATGCACAAGCTTCAGGTAAGCATAAGCTGGTTGCTGAAATGTTTGGAGTGGAAGTGTTCATTTCTTTGGCAAGAGATTGCAAAGAGAAAAGGAACTAAACTATAGTATTTTTGTTGCTTGTCCTCCCCCTGCCCCTTTCCTTTGTTTTTTAGTTGGCTTTAATTTTTATTTTTTTCCTTTCCTTGTCCATGATAGGCTTTGAAGTGCTTTTTCTAACAGATACAGATATTATGGGGGGAATGTATTTATATTGATGTGATATTAAGAGTAGTAAGTATGGTGTTTAACCTATCAGTAACTAATGAATACATTTTGAAATAATTTTTATATGATGAAGGCTTGAGAACTTCATAGTACATGTGAGTATCTGGGCTTCATTTCAGATTTACTTTGCCGAGTGTGCCAAGTTCCTCCTTCCCGGCTCAATTCTCACAAGCATCGTCTTCGGCCAGCTGCAAGTGTTCCGTATCAAGGCTCTGAAGAAAAAGGAACAAGAGGCCAAGGCACAATAAGCAAGCCATTTGCCTTTGTAACACACAAAAAGTGAGGTGTTTGAAATTGAACTAAGAGTAAACTTTTTCTTTATTTTTCAGTTTGTTGTAAAAAGGTCCTTAAATATTGTGATTGTAAAGATATACAGGTATATTGGTATGCTTTCCAACTTTATGTATCAAAGAGTAAGGTGCAAGAGTATCTGTTGTCCTTAAAATGCTGGTTAGTTGACAGTGTAAAATTGTTTTACAGTATTATAATTTCAGGATTATTAATGAATCCATATTTGCACATTCATGACTTATTTATGTATACATGGGTGAAAGTGAATGAGAGATTAGGTAGGCCTACACATGTTCCTTTAGTTAGTATGTTTATCAGAATAGGTCGAAAGATTATTTTTTACTTGAAATGTTGCAATTGCTTTTTGTCATATTATATACTTCATTAATTTTTTAAATTATTAAGCTTTTGGTCAGAATTGTACATAATCAGTCCTATTTGCAAACCACCTTGTCTGTCGTTGCTGTTTCTAAAGATAGTTTTGAAGGGAAATCTGTATAATTATGAGCTGTAAATATTGATTATGATTTAGAGCTGCACATATTCATTGTGAAAAATGTGATTTAAGATGAGTGCATATGAAGAAATAGGTTGCATAGACAGGATATTTTGTGCCAAGTTAGCAAATGGTTATTACGACCATCTTGGTGCAAGAAAGTGAACTAAAAGAATGTTAAGGATATTGTCTTCAACTCTGATTCTCAATTTTTATATGATAAATTTCAAGATTCCTCGATTATGCATTTAATTTTGTGTCACCCTTATTGTTTTCATGTCTGTAATGTTACTTTGTTAATACTTTCCTAGTGTGTTTGCTTAATATTAAGCCTTCAGATAATTGCTTGAGCACAGAATGTAAAGAAAGAATGTTTGAAATGGATGCTTGAGGCACAGTATGAGGTGATTCTGTTGCTTAAGCGAATTGATTTTTTTATATCATTGTTGAAAAATGCTCATTTTAGTAATAATGCAGTAATATACTTCTAAATTAATAGCATGTACCAAGAAAATGGTTGCCCTGACTTCCACAGGCAGCTGATTAAAGTGTCCAATGATGATATCTTGTTGAATTTCCAAAACTAATAAACATGTAGATGTGATGTAGTGTATAGAGAGATAAAAAGCGAGAGAGACAACAGGTAAACAGCCAGAAACACTTGTCTTTTGAGATACGAGATGAACATGAATTTTTTATCGAATTTCCAAACACATTCTAATACCCTGAGGATTGTTAGAAAAGTAGAATCCCATGGCAATGGCAATTATTAAGAAATAAATTAAATGTTGTGGTTTATTCTCAAGATGACTTGGCCCTGGTAAATCATATGTGAATTCTTAATACTATTTTATTAAGCAATGCATTTTGAATATAGTATAACCAATAACTATACCTTGTATTGTGTTGAGGAGAATGTTACTACAGTATATAAAAATGAATTTGGCAGAATTCTTGAGTGGAAAGTGTGAAAAAGTTAAGTCATTAATGGCAGTGGCAGGTAGCAGGCTTCATAATGAATACAATAAATCAAATACACTTTTGTTTAAAAAAAATGTCAAGAGATGCCTAACCCTATGGCTCAGTAGCTCACAAACCGACTGTGAAGGGGTTATGAAGCAATGTCTAAATATAATAGGTCATCAAAGTAAATCCCCCCCCCCCCAATCCTTTGCCCGTTGTTGTTGTGGTGGGGCTTAGGAGGCAGAGACTGGGTCCAAATGATGGGGAACTCCCCAACCTTGGGACTCAGCCCTCGACTCAACTAATTTTGCATGGTCTTTTTTTTCCCTTCCTACTTTTTTGTTTCTGTCCCTTCACCAATCCCTTCTACTAGCCACCTCCTAAGGTGTGAGAGCCGTGCTGACAGGAGGAAGAGCTGAATTTGTGCCAGTCAAATTGCCCCAACAGTTGAAACCCTCCCGATTCCCTGACCCCAGGCTCTCCTTTGACCACGGCTCCGAACACTGCAACAACTACCCCCTCCACAATGCCTACTAATACAGTAGTCAACACTCAACCCCCAAGAGACATTTCTACTCTCCCAACATACTCAACTTCAACACCTCTACCCCCACAACCTTCAACATCAACATCCTCCCTTATTAATACCTTACAGCCTTATTGCCCACCTCTCCATAACACTACCTCCCTCAACACTACTCCCTCTTCGACACGCCCCCGCCCTTCTACTACCCCTATCTCTACAACAATCCTAAATACCCTATTTAGTCCAGCCAAATGGAACCGATTTTTCGTGATCCCTCCCACAGCTCCCTACTCTGACAACACCCTTCTCTTCCAGCAATGTCTCCAAAAACAAGTAGGCAAAGCCTCTTTCCGTAGCCGACCCGACCGCTCCCGTCTCGTCACAGTAACATCTGAAAACCAAGTTATAGCATTAACAAAACTAACTGATCTATATGGTAATCCCATCCTTGCAGAACCCCATCCAACCCTTAATACTTGCACCGGAACTGTTTCAATCTCCCCAGCAAATTGCCCAATGTATGACAAAGATTGGTCAGATTGTGGAGAAGACTTACTCGCCTATCTCACATACTATGATGCGACAACAGTACAATGCTATTTCATTCTTCCCAGAGGTCATCGTAAGAAACCCACTAACATCGCCAAAAATACTTTCCGTAGACATGACCTTCCCTTTAATGTTTACATAGATGGAGAATCCGACCATGGCAACCTCCTTCCCGTCAGCGCCAAAATTGTTGGCGTTTAAGACACCCAGCCAAATGTTGCCGTTTCACAGCCAGATGCCCACTATGTGCCCAACCTGGTCATACTCGATCAAACTGATCTGCACAATCACGCACATGTACCAACTGTGGCGGCCCCCATAATGTATTTTATATGAGCTGCCCCACCTACAAATTTGAGTCTAAGGTAGCAACTCTCAGATTCAGACTTGAACTCACACTACGTGAAACCAGACAGGAAGCACGTCGACGAGGTTTTTCTCTTACTCCCTACTCCAGCAATATTGCTCATACCACTTCCCCTACCTCCCAAACTTCTACACCCTCTCCTAAACCTACCCCCCCCCCCTCCATTTAACTCTCCCTCTTCTACCTCCTACCTTCCCCAGTCAAATTATTTTGCCATCCTAAATCCAGACACTCCAATCCACTACAACCCCGACACTTTCCCCTCTCCCTCCTCGCACTACCCGCAACAGACAGAATAAACGTTCCACCCCCTCTTCC